TAGGGTCTGAGAATCGCACGCGCAAGCCACTAGGCAGCTGAATACTGTTTTTACATTTTTATGCGGAAATAAAATTCCACCTTTGAATATATTATTCTTATAATATGTAAGATCTTTTTATTGTATTATCGTAGAGTACAACAAAGGTCTTTTTCTTCTTTGAATTCCTTGTTAAGTACTGTATAACATCTGTGTTAAATCTGGTAAATTGTCAAAGTATTGATATAATTTAATGCTTTAATTTCTCATTTCCACGTAAAATTAATAAATGTTTCGAGAATAATAATCTTATTTTACATTAGACAATGTGTAACGTTTACAATGAAATACCACCAAATAATAATTGTATTGTTCGTAATGAAACATTTTTGCTTAATGATTAAATTTATTTTTGCCGAAGCCTTGAGCCTTTTTGGATTTGGTCGTATCATTTATAATAATACAATATATTGTAATTAAAACATCTTTTATTTAAATGCTCTGGATGTTTACTCTATTTGTTATATGACAATTGAATTTTTAACTTAAAAGTTATATTCTTTATCTATTCAGATGGTTACTGAACTTTTTACGAGCAACACGCTATAATCCTATATATCTTATTACATAATTTCTTTTAATTATTAAAATTACTATTCAGCCACCACAAATTTAATTTATAACCTTGAAGTTTTCACAAAATTTTATTATAAAATAAGAAAATGCGGTATGAATTTTCTATATTAAATCACGTTCGTAGCTCACCGTAGCGCATCTACATCGACTACGAAACCGTAGACTCCTCGTAGACTCGCAGAGGTTTTAAAGCTTTTTAGAGCTTTGTAAGAGCATGCCTTTCAAATTTATACTCATATCGTCGAATTGAGTAGTCCAGTTATATATTTTACAATTTATAACGTATAAGTAAAAATATTCTCCTATATCTATTGAGATCGAAGAAGAACAGCACAAGTGTGTACGCAGCAACACAAATGCACTCTCTATGCCATAGCTCTCATGCATCAACATAACCATAAGAATAGACGCAGAACCGACAGTATACGTGCTTACTCGAGGCACAATAAACGTACATAATTAATAATCTATTTGATTATTTGATGATTCCTGGCCACGTCGGGGTAATTTATATACCTCATAGAGACGGTAATGTCAAGTAAACACAGGGATTTAATGTATAATAATAATAATAAAGAGACATTCAACGAGACAATTGTTATAGGTTTATTATCTTTTTTGTACTATACACCGATCTCAATCTAACACGCGAATTTTTAAAGCTTCGTAAGGCGTTCACAAAATAAATATATTTACCGTAGTCAAAACGACACGAGATAAAAAAATCTTAAAACAAATATTAACACGAAATCTGACTCCAAAATATGCTACATTCATTCAGTTGGAAACAGTCTCATTTTCTCACGACATTTGTTTCCTTCCAAAAGATGTATTTGGGAAGTGTCACGTTTATCTTAAGAGGTGGAAATGAGCTATACTGTATATCTCATTTGGTTCTTATTTTTTGAGTTTATTTATCCCAAAAATATATGCAGTGGCCTAGTTTAACCCTGAGGTCGTATTTGAATCCCTACTCTGAATCAAATAGATGTCTAAGAATCTGGGCTAAGTATATGTACGTAATATAAAATAAAGGGTCAAAGCAGTCATTATGAAATATGCTAGAAACAATAACAAAAGGAAAAATGTAGTGTAAGTCAAACGGCTAGTTAATTATGATTAGTTAATATTACAAAAATGTCAATACCTTTAGAAGCCCTCTCTCAGCTCGATATAGACAACAATTTTTATATGATAAGCATGTCTTGGAGTATCATCCATGTGGTAAACACTGGTGCCGACAACACTATACGGTAAACAATTTAAAACGCTTCTGTTAGTAATAATGAGAAAACAATTGTTTCAGAGTCATTGATTTAATCTAAGAAGCTTGTATTTACTACTGTTATAAAATATCGCGAACACTTGATTAAAATAAAAGTACTGAAAAATACTTTTTTTAACAAATTCTTAAATAAAATAAAAGATGTTGTCCAGTTGGACAATATGATCGTGTGGATACATTCCTCAAAACCTAATATTATAAATATTTCAATATATTAACAAATATTACAATGCCAAACATATTTTAAATTTAACACCGAGAAAGTGGATGAAATGAATTTTAAATGTTCTTAATTTTAATGTTACACGTTTGTAATTTAACATAGGCGTTTCATGTGTATCAAATTGTAACACTGAAGGTATAATGATAACCATATAGCACCCCTAATGATATCATTTTTAAGCGTCACCTACCAATATTAATCTTAATAAATGTTATGAAACACAGTGACAAATGCAATAATCAAAATTAACCTTTTGTTTATATATTATGTGCCACCCACTGTTAATAATTTTCTTACTCGGAACTTTTTAAATTGTATATTTATTCATGTTTTTTCCCGAAGGGATAGCCAGAGACCAGGGATCACCACGTGTTACGGTCCTGACATACCTCTCTTGCTTCATCCACTCTCATGACCATGCACCATGCATGCTTGTCGGTTATGGGTACTTTTAACTTGTCCTCACCTTTGTTTTTCCTATCACGCAATTTTTCACCACACATACTTCTTAAAGCTCTTTGAAGAATTTTATATTTTAATATACAAAATCGGGTTTAACAAGATATAACAAACTTACTAACGATATAACTGTTGAAGAAAAATCTTCTCAAACATTCTTAGAATGAGTTTTTATTGTTATGAATATATATAGGAATTACGCTAATATTTATTATTAGATTCTATATAACCTTTACGGAATATGCAACACACACACACTTTTTATGTTATTGACCGTTCTACAATATGGGGTTTAATACTTTAAAAAAAACTCATAAGTTGTAAGATGTATATAATCATAATTATTACCTATTTATTTATTATTTCTTACTTATCGTGTTTATTGCTTCCAGTGTCATAGTCGCTATTTATAATTCAGGCTTCGGTGAAAATCACCTGCCAATTACAGAACACTGTTATTATGTAAAAGATATTGTGTGAGCATAATGTCGTTTTATACTGTTTGAGTACAAATAATTGCAGGTAATTGAATTGAGTACACGTCACGTATGTAATATGATGTTATTTCCTTTTTAACAAAAAATGTTATATGAGATATCATTTTACACTAACAAATTGTTACCCTATTCTTCTGTAGGGAATACAGGAGAGGATAGAGGATCTAATTATGAACTGCATTGTTAAAATTATCTTCGAACCAGTATCAGACATTGCGTCGAGAAAATAGTGATGACATGTTTGTCGGTAGCGCTATGCATTATCTTCATACAAAGGCAAAGGATTTTTTTAGATCGCTTGGTAATAAACAGTAATGATTAAATAGATAGTCTAATGACAGGAACTAATATTCCAGTTAAAGAACTTATTGAGAAATAGTTCTCAATAAAAAATCCACATTTTTATTCCATTATATTAACGAATAGCTGTGCTGTGCCGTTCTACTCGCATTACCTAGATCGTAGCACGATGTTCTATAGCCCTAAAGCTTTCTTCGGTGAATAGATTTTTAAATAAATAAATAAATTCAATAATAAGATTTTTTATGTTAAATATCGCGGACTTTTTAGTAGATATCTATCTTCTATAAAGTCTATCTAGTATTTTATAAAACTGTAGTCACTTTGTTATATTGTCAATAGTTTCCGCAGGCTACGCGATTTAGGAATTTTTATTGGTCTTTTTCACACCTTAGGTCACACTATCGTAATTTCATACAGAGTTCTATTTTTTTTAAATATTCTACAGCTTATGTTTATCTGAGATAACGTAGGGTTCTAAAGGTGAAAGAATTTATCAAATTAGTCCTGTTATTTTGGAGCCTATTCAATGCAAACAAATATACAAACAAATCTTTCCTCTTTGTAATATGAAACTAAATTAAATTTGTGGCGCTCAAACCTTTTTTGAGGCTCCGATATCTGTATCTGTGTCACGATCATTTGTAAATCTAATAGGCGAATAGGAGATCATTCTCCTGTGCCTACACACGTCGAGTTTTTGGGTCGAGCGAACGCTAAATGCGCACATAGAAAGAAAGTCCATTGGCGCACAGCCGGGTCGACCCTAACCACAGGGATGAAAGTCTCACACTGAAGCCACTAGGCCAACACTACACTTTATAATATTAGTGTAGATTGTATTAGTATGTTCTGTTGTAAACAATTTAGTCCTGATGAAAGTTTTATTAAAATAAAACAACAGAATTCCGTAATAAAAACCATCAATATATTTACATACTATTTACATATTTACATAACAATAGCTAAGTATATGATAATTGATCAATTTATTTCTATGTACAACGGCCGAATTATACAAACACGTTAATGTCTTTAGCGCGAAATTCTATTACAACAAAAATAATTGTTTATGTCGTAATTATAATGATATTTGGGAGAGATTTAAAAATAAGCATACATACAAGATCCATAAGGTATAATTTCTTTATTACACATAATATAAAACTATACGTTTACATCAGATTAACGTTTTCAACGGTTAGATACCTGAATTAACTTTTGCTATATAGTTGTTCTTATACAAAGTCGTTTTTCGTATGTTTAAATTAATAGATATCTCTAAAATTCTCTTTATTTTATGTATGCAATAAATACATATGGTATTTAACAAAACGGACTTCCTCCACGCAAAATCAAAATCTTATATAATACAGAATTTGAAAAATCAATATCAATTGGTCGTTTTACAAGCCAAATACACTAGAGTTACACATCTATATAAACTTTCTACAAGTCAGTCTGTAGTGTGAGCCCGAATTTTGATCCATATTAACTAACTGTTAAATTATATCTAACGAAAGGTTAATACTATTAATCAAAATTTTATTCGTTAAATATTTGTTCAAATAAAGTCGTTAACTACGGTTCAAAATATCAGGCCTTCGTACTTCAATTTTTACTAAGTCGGTTCTTCGAGGGCACTCATAGCACTCTCTGTCACTTTCAGTTTGCTAGTGTTAGACAAAGACAGATTTGTTAGGTCTTCATCAACCGTCGTCAGCTGAGAATATACCGCTTTGGGGTATAATGTGAGATGGTTGCGGCGTTTTATGTTAATCTGAAAGAGAATAAATGTCAAAGGCTGCTTCTTTATAAAACTTGCAATGGCGTCACTCAAATAACAGTGTCTGTCCATTTTTATTAGTTGGTATTCCGTTCATAAGTGAAAAATAAGAAAAAGGGTCCAAAATATATATATTAAATAATGTTATAGTGCATTCATTTTATTCTTATTATATAACAAGAGAATAGAGACGGCTTCAGATTGGAGGATAGGTAAAAGTGAGTTTATTGAATATGACATACGATAGTTATACTTAGCACTATGTGGCGACTCTAGATCTCACCCTAAGCGTGCAATTCTCGACCAACTTATTGAAAAAAAATATATGAAAAAAATATTAGTTTAATCGGGAATTTAAATGACAAGACGACGATACAATTCTTCATAAAGCCAAATACGTAGAATAAGAAGGTACACGTTCTTATTATGAACGGTTAAAAAATATAAACCTTTTATACAAAATTCCGTTCTAAGATACTCAGAAAACTAGCTGTTACATAAGTAAATAGAGAAAGGACTCACCCTTATCACAATCACAAGGGCCATGACCAAAAGTGCGGTAGCGACGCCGCTCCACACTATCAATATATCACGGTGAAAGATATTTGGCTTGGTTTTTGCGTCGCCAACAAAAAACGAGGCGGTCATATGTGATCCAATGTTCTCTGCAATGCGCCGCTTGCCCGCAGATGAACCGTTTAAACAGCCCCCTAAAATGTATTATACCTATTTATTCCATCGCGATAGCTTTGATGGATGTGTAACGCTACAGGGAAGGCTAGTGGTTTTTTGAATTTAGAATGCGGATACAGTTTGAAATGGAGTGACTTTTTTTATACATTCTTTTCAGATAATTGAAATTATACCAATATTCGCAACTTCTAAATTTTTTTTGCATTGAGAGATAACGAGATAGAAATTAAGTTATTTATCTAAAATAGCAGATAATAATTTCTCATTAACTTGCTCGTGTATCTTTGATATACTCGTATAAATATAATTTTAAATTATGTAGAATTCGCATCTATTATGAACGCTTATTATAACCGGTTATTTTCAAATATCTAAAACAGTGTTTTTGTTTATGAGGTTTAGTCACATCATACAGTCTATTTATAAATACAACAATTAACTTCTTACACAATAGTGATATATAAACTTACCTATATCCCTGTCACAATGGCAGCAATCTGTAGATTGATTGCCACTCGAATACACCGCATTCTCAGTACAGCACGGCAAACAATTGTGGTTAACTCTACAAACAAAAATACTTCTTTATAAATCTTCTCGAGGACAAAGTTGAAAATTTTATGACTGCTAAAGTTGGAAATGTGGGACATTAGACGTCGGCATTGCTCCACAATTTGTTACTGTTTATAAAAGTTTCAAATTATGTCGTATGAAAAGTTTATTCCTTCATTTCGCATAAAATACTTTTATGTGTTTGTTTGTGAGGCCAATTATTCTAATTTTGAAATACAACGAGTGTTGTAAATGTGTTATGTAAGGTTTTAATTTAAAGCGTACGTTCATTTTGTTACCTTAACTTTTTAAGGTATGCTTTCGTATAAATAAAACTTTATCATAATTATTTAATAGATACCTAATAAAAGTTTAAGAGGGCATTGCATATACATCTATACATTCTTATCTATATATATATATATAAATGTTGGGTTGGATTGTGTACGCTTCAAAAACCTAAAAAGTTCCGCACCAATCGAGCTGAAATTTCAGGATGATATAATATAATCCGCATCAAGGATTGTTTTTATCTATTATCTATTTTTTCATTTTTCATTTTTTTTCCACGAGTATTGCAAATTAAACTTATATGAATTGTATTCTTTGTTTTGTTTCACATTTCTCAACCATTCAATCACAATGTGCCACAGCGAAGCGTGCCAGGGTACAGCTAATACAATATATATTGAGAGTTTAAAATAGGAAAATTCGTAAATTGAATATTAAAAAATAAACCTACCTATCTAAACGTAAAGGATGTGCGCATGTAACGCAACTCGTTGGTCCAGGACCTGAACAGGATCTGCACGAATCATGGCACGGCCGACAAGTCCTAGTCCTAGGCTCGTAGTACTGTGAGCTAAGGCATTCCACACACAATCCATTTTCCAAAGAAAAGTGCGGCGGACACGACGTACACCTCTGCGGTCCAGCACCATAGCAATCTTGGCAGTAATGATGACAGCGTCGGCAGCTATCGCCCCACGAAAAAAAGTTCTGCGGGCACTCAGGCCGGCATTCACCCGCCGCTAATCTCCAATCGGGCGGGCATGACGCGCACTGATTCCGTCTCGCCCCGGTACATGTTTCACAAGACAAGTAACATTTCGAACATATCGCCTCATCCGGATAATACCCGGGGGCGCATGTCGCCCGGCATGTACCGGATTGCAGGCGTAATGCACCCGCACAAGATGTACAGTTCAATCTAGAGACGCAGTTGGTACAAGTTAGCGGACACGGAGAGCAACTGCCAGCTCGTTGGTAGAATCCTTGACCGCATTCCGCAACACACCTAAAATAGCATATACTAGTTTATTTTAGTTCTGTCCCGTAATTAGGCACAGTTTTGCACCTCTTTTAGTTTACGTCTGTTTATGAGTATCTATGTTTAAAGAACTTTATTTTCTCATTACAAAAAATTTATTTTTATTTACATTACATTTAGTATCTATACTCAACAATCTCACGTAAAAATGTTTTTGGGACGCATCATTTTGTGATATGCCTATCTTGTTTCCTGATAATGAATAATTAAATTTATGGTTATTATTTGGTCAAAGTTCTGCGTCCTTTTCTCGATTCGATTGCTGTTTTGACAATCTATGATGGTACTCGTATAAAATGTTTGACACTAGTTGTAGATACACTTTTTTTATGTAATAGGAGGCAAACGGGGAGGAAGTTCACCTGACGTTAAGTTATAGTGCCCACGAACACTCACATTGCCAGAGGGCTCGCAAGTGCGTTGCCGGTTTTAAGAGTTGGTACGCTTTTCTTGAGGTCCCTAAGTCGAATTGCTTCGTAAATACAATGCATGGGCAAAAACTGCCTTAAGAAACGCTCAGTTGTGAAACGAAAGACGTCGAGGTGATAAACCTTTTCAAAGCGTAAAAAAGTGATTAAATAAAATATATAAATTATTAATTCACAACGTGATTACAAACGGGAGAGTTAAACTGAATGTAGAATGACGTCAATCATGACATATATAACATCAGAATATAATGACATGCAATATATCATAATTATATTTAAGCGTATAAATCATTATAAAGTTTAATGACATTACTATAAATTAATATTGAAATATAAACACAAATAATAGTTAAGATTATTTGCGTTTTTATATTTGTCATGTATGATATGATTATGACATATCGGATTCTAAATGTAAGTGTTTAATTTCTATCTTCACATTATATTGTTTTAATACCAGTACTGTTTCTTTAATTAATATTTCGTTAGCGGATGTTAACGCGAAGTTTTAAATATTTTTCCAGTTCACGGTTCTGGTGATTTACACAGTTGTAGTCTCTCATTCACCGGTAATGTAATTTGCGTTAAAGAAGTTATTTTTAAGAGCTTCGCTTATTATTTACGATAACGATTAGGGTTGCCACCTTTCTTTTGCAATTAAATTACATTGCTTACATATATAATACTCAAGAAAAAAATACATAGTACCAAGTAAAGTACAATTAATTTTTCTGAAGTGTGTGGCGCTGGCGAGTAGTGGCGAGTGGCAACATCGATTCAGGGCCAATCGATAAATTCCGTTTAACAAAAAAATCTTTACGACTAAAGAAATTACATCATTCAAAAAAAGTATTTTCGTGTACTTTATTGTATACAATTACTTAAAATAACCTACAATCCTTTATTATAAAGTACGGGTGGCAACCCTTATTACGATTATACGCAGATGTTGTGTAATGTATGAATGAGATCAGATGATGCTATGTAAAACTTAGACGAAGTGAGTTCTTCAACTTATCTTTGAACTGATTATAAATATGAATTATAATTAGATTCTTATCGAGTTAATGAAATTGGATAGTTTTCAATCTCCACAAAAATTTCAGTAGTGTTACTCGTACTATCTAAAATTTGCCAAAAGCATTAATAAATTATCATATTTCGTAGGTACATAATATCATTTCTCTTTATCTCTAAGTTTATCATAATATTTAAAAACACGAACAGTTGTTATATGAAAATTCAAAACTAAAAATCGTGCTTCACTCTTGTAAGTGTAAGAAAAGGTTATATATCTATAATGTAACGAAAAATAATGCGAAAACTTGCGTACTTCACGAACTAGAATAACTAACACTAATTTATCTTTCTATAGTATATATTACACTTCAATGTAGGCATGTTAGATCAAACGTTGAATATAATTCGACTCACCTCGATCCTTGCAATAACAAGGGGCTCGAACAAGATAAACAATCCCATTCGTTTGGTCCGCTACATTTCTCGCAAGTGGAATGACAGTTTTTGCAACGTCCTCCTTCATAATATTCGTCTGTAAAGAAAAAACCTTTTAAACAAAGAACACTAGCAAAGCGGCGTAAAAGCTTTGGTATTCGTTAAATTGACATATTTCAGTTGTACGTGCTCATATAGAAATGCTTTGTGTGGCTTTGTAGTTTGTTGCATGCATTTACTTAAATAGTAAGGGAATCTGCATTTGTTTTCTTTACAGCGTTGCAAGTGTAATAAACGTATTATAGGTTTGCTTAAAGTTCAAGTTACAATTCTATAGAATTGTATCTTTATGAACTGAAATATTTCAACTAAAATATACACTCTTTTTTAGTTTGTGAACATTTTTCTATGCAGAGTAGGACACTATGCTTTTGTACTTATTATTGTCTACCGGAGATTGAACCATAGAACACGGCTTTAAATAATATTTAATACATGAAATCCTGGCGGTTACTGACGAAAATGTATTCGAGCTTTAATCTCAATCAGTTATAATGAAAAGGCTTACTCGTGTCACATTTTCCATTGCCCTCTGGAAAGCAATTACCACCTTTTGCGAGTAACCATTTTGGCTTGCAAACAGAACAGACTCCATTCAAACAAACTGAGCAACCAATCGGACACCTAAAACAAAAACCTTTTTAAAATATCTATAGAGAATATTTTTTATAAAATATTGTTTGTTTTTTTTTTAGAATGGGCTTACAGGCGTTCATAAGTGTGAATGCTTTATATTAATTAAGCAACGTAAAAATAACATTCTTTGAATCTAAACCTAAAAACCTTAAAAAGATATAATATAATAACTAAAATATATTATTAAAAGAGTCCTTTTAGGCAAGGTTCCGAAGATACTGGCAGAATTCTCCCTTTGAATAGGTAGACTAATTCTTTGTCCCAGGTAGCTGCCAGCTCTTCGGTCTCCTGTGATGTCAACTAACCTTTTAGCTATTTCCTTAAAAAGCCTTATAGCGCGCGCTTAGTGTGAGTTGTGGTTCCTATATTTTTGATATAATGATATTCAAATAGATTTAATTAGGAAATGTCTGTTTATACTTACTTAATACATTCTCTTTTCTGAACATCAGCATAAAATCCCTCTGGGCATTTAGGTAAACATTGGCTCTCCAAAGCGTAGTATCCAATTCTACACGATATGCATTCTATTTCACCGGGGCCCCTACATGATTCACATAACTCATGACATGGCATGCAACCAAAGTCATCCTTTTGAAACGTCCCAGGTGGGCAAGTCGCCAAACAAGACCCATTGTATAATACATAGCTGTGTGCACATGAGGCGCATAGATCAGCCTTTTCCGTACAAGTATCACAGTGCTCGGCACAGGGAAAACACGCGTTTGCGTCTGGGTCCTCGTAATAGCCATCGGGGCATTGTTGTAAGCACACAGCCAAGTCGATAACTAAGAGATGTGCGGGGGCACATGTCAGGCACGAGTCCTGCCCCGCCCCCGCACAAGTCTCGCATGACTCATGACAAGGCCAGCACACTCCGCCCTGATTTACGAAGCTCCTCGGCGGACATCTTGATACACAAGAGTTATCTAAACGATAATGTTTACATGCGACACATTGAGTTGGCCCCTTTCCATAACAACCTTGAGAGTCACACTCCGGATCGCACATTCTCTGAACTTGTTTATCGTTCGCATCTGCCAGCACATTTTTCCTTTGCGAAGACGGTATATTTTTGGAGTAGCTGTGTCGATCTGATATCCCGAGCTCGATTTCGTTTAAGAACTGGGAATATTCGGACGCGTCATATACATCGTTAATGTGATAGGTTTTTTCCTCCTGCTGAGCGTTATTCGAATCGAAATAGTTTTTATTTCTCAATCTTATCGGATTCGTTGCTGTACCGTAGAAAATAAGCTGCCATTTTTTCAGCACTCCTGGCTGTGTAACGTGATTATTTCCAGCGTTTATTATCTGTAAGGTCCATCGTCCTTCGGCATTTTCGCCCCAAAAATGTATACTCAAGAATGGCCAGTCGTCGAAATTCGAACTGGTCGCATCGTGGGTCCGCTCAAACAAAAGTGTGGACGTAGTCCCCATTGGCGATGTGAGTAATATCCGCAAATTTCCTCTGGGAAAAAAGCTGAGTGAAATTTTACATTGAACATGTTCCAGAAATCTGACCTCATTCATTGTGCCACTACAACCATTCACGTCCATATGTACGGAAATTGTGTATCCGAAAGAAGTTTCAATGGACCTGTCCTCGTTTATTTCCTGTGACTTGCAAATATGTTGCGGCGGTACACTTATCCATTGTTCCGCTAGGGAAACCATTTGACCTGCATCCATTAAGCCGTAGCCGAACTTATGGCTCACCTTCCGCTTTACCCCGTTTACGATCCACCCTTCTTCCTTCTCGAGTGGCTGCGGTCGAGAGGTCATTACTACTAAATGCTGCATATCTCGCCAAGTGAGCACTGTATTCGCCTCTAAAGCTAAAGCACAAATTCCTGCGGCGAGCGGAGCGGACGCAGAAGTACCCGTGTGATCGACGGTGCATATATGATCGGGTCGTAATTGCACATCCATGTCTACGGTCGCTACGCTTTTATCGCGCCCGGGAGTGCCAGAGCTATATGTCGATGCTAAAGTGGACGAACATTCCTCTAAGTACCACGGTTTGTATCCGCCTTGAGTAGCACTCGATATTGAAATCGTAAATATACTGTTTGCATAACCGTCACAATTACACGAGTCGGTATGCCGGCCGCCATTTCCCGACGCCCATATAAAAATAGAGCCTTTCCCGCCTCTCCCGTTTGTAACCCCATTTATAAATGCTCTGAAACAAAAAAAATGTTTTAATGAGCTCGCTCGCAGCAATCTCATTCAAAGATAATTAGACAATACCTTCTCGCTAAAGGGCCCGGTCCGTCGACGGTTTTTCCGTCGTCTTCCGGTCCCCAGGAAGCGCTGTAGATGTCTATGTGATGAGTGTTGAAACTCAATGCCTGCGCTTCCACTGCGTCGTTAACAAGGCCGTCTAGCATTCTGACTCCCCCAATGCTGGCATTGTATGCGATGCCGACACCGCAGTACCGATTGTAGGCGACAGCCGCCACCTCCCCCGCACACCGAGTGCCATGTTTATTATCGCCGTTGTCTTGTGGTGTCGGGTCTGTGTCGTTTCCATTTATGTCAGTTGAAGCTGCTGGGTCCTATATTGTAAAATTACGCTCGTAATAAGCTTAAAACTCAATTTAAATATACTACCCTTACGTAACTAAACCTATGTCAAATCAGCAGTACATTCATATTCAGGAGCAGATTCGAAGTGAAAATCTACATATTATATTTCTGGGCCACACAATTTGGGATACTGCATACATTCTAAAAATTTCCTCCGTTTGTGGGTCACGCGGTCGAATGCAAGACTTTGCACCCTCGTCTAGAATTCAAGACGTAATATCCTTAGCTATATAAGGTAATCAGTTTACACACAGTATAGCGCATTGAAAATTATAATAGATCATTATTTATTTTATATATACAATTTTTATTGCAAAGTGGCATTACCGCTAAAAATATCACACCACAAAATTAATAATATATTGTGAGATCTTTCGTAAGAGAATGTCATTTGTATGTTTTGCAAATTTATATAGTATGATATAGATGAATAGTCATAATTTCATTAATAAACAACCAACACGCGACAAGTATAAATAAAGCTTAAAAATGCCATTAATAGAATAGAGAATGAAAGTAATATTCATAAATTTAAAAAAAAACTAGCCGAAAAAAAGTAGGATTAGCCGCTTTGAACTAAGTCGTTTCACTTGTCTTGCAAAGTCGATTATACTAGCTGTCCCCAGGAGTTCCATTATACTCGTTTATGTAACGTGAAGTGGTATAAGTAGACAAAAAAAATAAAAGAAAAAACTTCTGGGCAGAAAAAATTTTCATACATACCAAATATCCACAAAAATTAAATCGGACAAAACGTTTCCAAGGAGAACGACACAACGTTTTTAAATACTCATTTAACAGAATACCTCTTTAACGAAACCACTAATACTAGTAAAGGTAGGTAAACAATGGTATAATTACATAATTCTGAGCCAGATCGGGGTGGTTAGGTTGGATTCCGTCGTCCAATATTGTGATAACAACACCCTTCCCGGTGTAACCCTTCCGCCAGGCGTACCCAACATTCATGTCTAACCCATCTGCCGCACCGCCGTTCTGGAAATGTATATAGTTTAATATTTTGTGCAGTAACACAGTTTTTTTTGCTTTTAGTATAATTTAGTAGCCATAGCGCTTTCTTTATTTAGACACAAAAATGTGGTTTAAAAAACCTAATATAAGGCAGGAACTAAATAAACTTACTTAGTTACTTATGAGAGAAAGTGAACTAGTATTTTATACATATGTAATTTAAAAAAAGGTATCATTAGAAATATAAACTACATTTTCTGTCCACCAGAACGAATAAATTTAAAACTTATATACTAAGACCAAATATATATAACATAAAGTAATAATTATTATATTGCGCGTAATAAAACGGTACATTATTACTAACCCCATCGAAATGATGATGACTCTTACGACAAGAATTCTTATTCCAATGTGGGATGTCTGTATAGATGTATTGATTAACATAATATATTTGTATGCATAATTAATTATTGTAATTAAAATTTTAATTTTAATGTTATAATGCCTAAATACTTTTTTAATAAGACATAAGGTTATAAATGGTACTCCTTCGTATGTAACGCTTTATTGATCAAGTTTTGTGGATGAAAGTATTAACACAAGTAAGCAAGGCGCAAGGCTGAGGAAGACCTGTTTCCTTACTCGTGTACTTAAGACCTGTTTACTTAACTTCTTAACAATTCATAGGGATATGTGAAGTATCATGTCTCAATTATAATATTTTATATTATGACATAGTTTTATATTACGTTAATACGGATAAAAAACAAACCAATGTTAAATAGTTGGGCCAAATTTTGGCCAAACCTTTGTTGAAAATATATGGTTTTCGTGCATTCTAAACTAAAGTGTTTTTTGATCTATAGAAATAAAGTCACGGTCACCAGCTGCTATTGTAGTCTTTACAATTTCAGATATTTCGGACAATACACAGTTTATGTCTAAAGTTCAATTGGAACAGTGTAGATTTGAACTATTTTTTATTGCGCATGGTTCAAAAAAAATTCTCAAAAATATATATTTTAAAGTTTTCTTACATTTAGTGTTTATCTATAAAGTTTCTGTCCTGTTTTCAAGACCCAGCTGTCACTAATAGATTTATCTGAGTGCATTTTTTAACCAAAAAATAAAATTTTTCTTTATTCAATAACAAGTTACATTTTATAGCAGATATTGGAGCTCCTGAACTAAGTCTACGGAGACATCAGGGTACTCCGCGCTTTCAACGGTTTAATGAAGTTGTAACAATGGGTAACAAAATACTATATAAAGAAAAATAGAAAGCTGAGACTTATTACTAGATTCTACCCTCATTTAGTTTTATAAACAATAAAAATATAACCCGAATAAACATCTAATAACAAACAACTTAGCCAATTTGTTAAAGACACTGGAAGGAACTAGCGTTTAAGATAAGGTGGCCTAGTTTAAACGCTAGTGCACATAGAATATTTTATGTAGAGGTTTACTAAAATTAATAGTGAGAACACAACGATTCGTTGATATTGTTTATAACATTTAGAATGTAAGTACAAAATGTAATTGTTTTTTCGTCAAATAAAGTGATTTTTATTTTTATTTTATTTATGACTAAAATAAAGATACAGGTTTACATGGTTAAGACGTTTGTACACACCTAAAGTAAATGACAAGAAATTCTTATGTGTATAGAATAATGTTAAGGATGGATGGGATGGAAAGTATATAGTGCTAATGTAAAGGAGTAAGTGCATTGTGAAAATTAAAAATGGTTTAATTATTCTTAGACTAGTTATTCAGTTTCATAATTTAGTGCACAAAGCCACTTGGTTAATAACATAAAAGCCTTCTTCCCTACATATAAAATTTTATACAGTAATCAGACAGAATATTACTTGTTTAATCATAAAAAATACACGATAATTTTTAAACTCTTAATATTTACTCACCAAATACCATTGCTCCTTAAACAAAGGGTCTGGAAATGATATTATATTTGATTGCCGCATCACCGGGCGCGCAGAATGATCCCTTTTTGTTCTTCGTAACTCCCTCTGCTGCATCACCCATCTCACCTGGTACGATAAATTAAATTAATATCATTGAATATAACGTAGTCAATTACTTGAAACACTTGCTCAGCGTTTTACGCCAAATCTAGATTTTATAATATTGGTATTCTATTATATATGGTTACTTTTTATAAGTTTGTATCCAAAGATGTTACAGATAATTTCATATGAACCAAATGTGATTAGTATTTTTATTACCTTACGCTACCTTTTCTAAAGGTCAAAACCCTAATTAGAAACTACCAATAAGTAATCTTTCAATTAAAATTATGTGCAATTTTAACTACAATTAAATATCAAAATAGGCATTTCAGAAATAAATCGCTTCACGACGCGTAATTTTGGCATAGAGATATTTATTTTTTAGAGCAGTAGTGTACAAAGGACAAGACTAATAACAGGATATATCTTTCTATATTGTGATACAAAAGATTTTCTGTAATAAAAATTAATATTAGTCATAGTATTATAGCAGTGTTGGCCTAGTGGCTTCAGCGTGCGACTCTCATCCCTGAGGTAGTAGGTTCGATCCGCGGCTGTGCACCATTGAGCTTTCTTTCTATGTGAACATTTAACATTCGCTCGAACGGTGAAGGAAAACATCGTGAGGAAACCGACATGTCTTAGACCCTAAAAGTCTACGGCGTGTGTCAGGCACAGGAGGCTGATCACCTACTTGCCTATTATATTGAAAAATTATGATGAAACAATGCAGAAATCTGAGGCCCAGACCTAACGAGGTTGTAAGGCTACTGATTTTATATGTTTACTCAGGGGGCAGTGTCAGCAAATTATACTCAACCTTAAGTCTTCAGTTCAAACCCCGAGTACATAAAGATTTCTCTATGAGCGTAAACCCCTAGGGAGAGAAAACGTAAGACAAAACGTTTGAATTACGTTTGTTAACTGTTCAAGGTGATCAATTGCTGACACGGCTCATGGCTGTTCCATTTTTGAACAGCTGAAGGTACGCGATACACCGACAGCTCGCGAGAGTAGTTTTGTGTGAATCGTTATAAGTAGGATTTAAGATGTTTTTTTATAACAACAAATCAGATTTGAATATTGCTCTGTCTTATTCATTTCCCGCTTCCTCTCAAAGTGGCGAAGCCTCCTTAAAGCTCTTAATTATGGTGGTGAGCCTGCCCCATAGCTTTGAGAAAATCCCATTAGCTTGAACCTCTGATCCTATCCGTAGGGCTCTGCCTGCCTACCTTAGGTCTTTTGGTGCAGACATTCCGTACTTATATATATATATTTACTACTTGTGTTAGGGTATAACTGTAGGGCTTAGGTATCAGTAGGGTTGTTAGGTTTTTAGTTCTCAATCTCTCATATAGTAATAATACTAGCCATAAATACTGTTACATAAAAACTTTTTTTTTTCAACTTTTTAATTATTATGAATTTGGAACACGTATATTATTTTAAAAACCTCTTTCGATATTGCGCCATTTCACATATTTTTGCGTGTTCATTATCAAATTACAATATGGAATGGGGTATTTAAGAAAATAGGATTGCAGTGATCACCTTGCACGAAGTGGTTATGGAGCCATCGGTCATATTCCAGACATTTCAAAAGCTTGGTATCAGCCGTATGTTCCTGTATCGCATTATCTACAGATACAACAATACTTCGTCTGTCGAAGACCAGAAAAGATGCTGTCAAAGCCTTTTATTTCTCCAAAAAATTAACCCAGAACTTGACGCTACTGCTGTTAGTCATCGAATCATCTCCAAAAATTATTCTTGTATTCATTGCAGATCTAAACTAAATTTTTAATACTAAACCTATTCACGAACCCCGCGCGAATAGAATTCCGCAAACCGTATTTTCCTAATTGCATGTAAAGCAGTTGAAATAAAAAACAGCCGTAAAATATATTTCGCGAGTGTTGCACTTGAAGTGGCTCGGTTTGCCAATCGCTTCGAATGCGCATAAATATTCAATAGGTATCGAATCAATAAGTGTAAACTTGGAACACTGTATTGACTTCAATTTCTTGGTAAACGCTTTGCAGCTGTTCTTATTTTATGACTTGAGGCTTGATTCATACATTGATAGTAACAAGATTCTCACAATCTTTCTCACCTGGTATACGTTTTAAGCGAAATATTGGTAATAGTATTTTTATTTATTTATGTACACTTCGTACAACTCCGTTACATTTCAATAAGTGAATTATTGTTAGTTATCGTTAGACTTACGTGCTTAACAGTGGTAAGTGAATAAATAGAACACAAGAACAAAGTGTATTCCCCTTAATAGAGACTGTAAGTAGTGTTTTTTGGACACTTTCTTATGTGAAATATCCTTAGTAAATAAGGTTATACGTCTTTGGTAAGACTAGATCGTACTGTTCCATGACGTAGTAAAGACATATGTATTTGAAAAAATTACATTTTATCGTAACCTTAAACATACACATAAAAACAGGTTACATAAGTTAATAGGCAACGGGCCTGAACAGGCGATTTCTTCCAGCCAAGAGAGTACAAGAAGTGCGTAAAAAATTAACAAAAAAACCAAATAACATGTAACAATAGAAATACTAACTAAAACTAAACTAAACTAAAATAACAAAGTAACAATAATAATATTAAAAATGTAAAAGATAATCTTACTGGGGGTTAATGAGTCATAATCAATATATATAAGTAGCTAATTACGAGGCAGAAGGAAAAAGCGCAAAAAGAAGATTCTAGAAGATACATGAGGTAAGGAGATACAATTTTTTTTATATATGTATAAGTTACGTTTTTTAAGATATTATTTTAAATATTTAATTTAAAACGTATGGCAATGCACAATTATTGTCTATTATCGAAATTGTAGATACATGTAAATTATTCTGTTAAGGTTTTTGCTGTCTTTTTGGCTTTTGACCAAGTGAGCGTGCGACTCACATCCCTGAGGACGCTTCGAACCCTGGATGTGCACCGATGGATTTCTCTTTGTACGCATTTAACACTTGTAGAAGGAAAACATCGAAAAAACTGGAATGCGCGTCGATTGCGTGTGTCAGGCACAGAAGGCTGATCACCTACTTGCCTATTAGAAAAAGAATGACCACGAAACAGATACTAAAATCAGAGCCCCTTGACACTCACATTACCAGAGGGCTCGCATATTGGAGGCAACATTTTATTAATTATTATCCTTAGAGACTATGCTACTATAATATTGTCGAGAAAAATTAAATAAAATATAACAAAGTTAAACACATAATATACACAATATCGCTACTGTGAATTCACGCTGCGAACAAATATGTCGATAGTGTAGGAGACAGCATTCAGTAGGCGCAACGTCTTTGATATCGGGGATCTGTGCAACAGACTGGTTCTGGCACTTGGTATCGCAAATAACCCAGGCCTTCGCCGTCGCACATATCCCACAAAAACCCAGTTATGTATATGTATTACCAATTACGTGCCTCTTTTATCCATTAATGTATTCCATCGAAAACGCTAGATTTAAGCTATTAATATGTAGTCAGTAGTATATTTTTAAATATAGAAATAGCTTACCTGTGGGTCATTTTTTAATGTATTCACGTATCCTATGCTTGAATTTACTGATCTCTTTCTCACGTGTGGATGTGAAAAGAGATAGAAGTGCTTCAGGTTACCGATCTGGAACAAACATACAACATTTGAATACAGATCGTTTTTAAAGTTTAAAAAAGAAACGATTTATTAAAAAATTTTGAAATATAGTTTAGAGTCTTGAGGTAAAAGTAAAAATATCTGAAATAAAAGGCTTTTATTTTTATTAAACTTAACGGTAACGGTACATAAACTAAAACAGTTTTTAAAATCTTGTCAATCAGCCCATTGCACACAAATCAGTTTGTTAAATATTGCATCAATTTTTATGAATGTAGTAGATTTATATATTAATATAGATTTATATAATAATAACTAGTGGACCCCACAGACGTTGTCCTGCATGATATTTAAAGCGATTTGGATATTAAGCAAAGTATGAAAGTACCGACTGCAGTGCCATCTGCCGGGCTGATTTGTGAATCTAAACCATTCCCAGATCCCCTTGAACACACACAAAAAATTTCATCAAAATCGGTCCAGTCGTTTAGGAGGAGTTCAGTCACATACACACGCACACAAGAAATATATATATTAAGAATAGATAACAATTTTTCCATGGTACATGGTGCTTGTTCAAAACAATTTTTTAAAGAAAAAGTAGTCTTGGTGTTACATCTAATCAAACAAAAGTCGTTACTGAGTCTTTTGATAGAAGATTGACAGTTTATGTTGTAATATAGTTAAATTGGACCATAGGAACGTTTAACCGAAAAATCCCAATTATAACAAAAAAAATCAGGTTAGATTAAACACAAATTCCATAGAACTGAAATAAATTAGAACAGTTAAAACTAATTGAAATCGTTACTTATGAAAAAAAGATTTACGAACTTAATTCACACATCTTTAAATAATTAATAATGGCATTTATTAATAAAAATTTCAATAACGTATGCATAAAATTACGTCCTCTTAATGAATAAATTCCATAACGAATAGTGTGGAATTTTCCGTTCATTCGCCTCTCAATCACACTATGTTCATTAAAATGAAAAACTGCACATATTTTATATGAAAAGTCAATTCGTGACGCTTAATAACCGGCCATTCGTTTAATTTTAGACGTTTTAATTCAACTTTTACAGCAAACAAGTTATAGGGTGGAAGGCTTGGGCACGCCGCTCGCGTTTGGAATGGCGATTTATTGTTTGTACAACTGCGCCTTAAGCAAATCCGTTATTTAACAACTTACTTTTAAGAGGCAATTGTATTAACAAGTTTGTGCATTATTCTTTTTTGTAATTTCATTATAGAGGTTAGGTTAGCGCTCCTTTCTGCCGAACCCTCCGTAGATAACGCTAGATTTTTATACTTTACTTATTATTTGGGAGCATTGTAGCTGCTCTTTGGTTAGGTATGCGTAATTAATTAATTTATTTATTTATCTGATGAAATAATTTTAAAAACTATAAACATTAATCTAATTACGTATCGTAATAATTGTTTTTCTTTCTTTATGCCCATGGCGCAGGCTATCGTCTTTCGACCATACCGCCTAGTCGTAATATTTGAATTCCGAACGTCAAAATGATTATTGACATACTCTATACACAGCATATAATCGAAATGAAAAAAAAACAGTATAACATCATGATTTAAGCAAAACATTCATTTGTTTATTACAATACAGTAAAATCCATTAAGTTTGTGTTACCAATAAGGTTTTACAATAATATCTGCTATATGGCGCGCAATTTTTATACTCTATGGTATTTTAAAATTTTTACTAATCAATCTATGGTCGCTCCCGCTTTGCTCGTTGTCATAATAATCATTTAATGTTTATTACAATATAGTTAAATTCCATTATGTTTGTGTCACCAAAAAGGTTTCACTACTATATGGCGCGCAATTTCTATACTCTATAGCATATTTTTACTAATCTGTGGTCGCTCCCGCTTTGGTCGTTGTCACTTGTTCTATTATTACGATAACAATTTTATATCTTCATATCTTCATATATTTCTACTAAAGTATTAATTTTAAATGTTTTTCTAATGTGGATATGTGTTGTCAGATCTCACGCAAAGGAGATAGTACTACGAGTATGTAAGCAGTTAGTTTTCGACCCAGAGGTCCTCGCGTGTCGAGGTTGGTTTTATCTACTAGGGTTATTTTTAAGGCTTAGTTTTAGCTTTAAGTAAAATATTCATTCACGTACCAACATTTTCACGTTGTACGAATGAAAAATAATCCGTACAACATAACGAGTCAGTCCTGCGACGATAAATATTTGATTTCCATTCCTTTATTTTCCTCTTCCGTAGAATGTTGGGAAAACAATGGATATTTTTATTGGACTGTAACCAATTCGCATTTAACGCTCGATAAATACGGTCCTTATGTTTTTTTATCTCTACTAAAGGATAATACAGATATTAAAACTACTTTAGGGATCTTCGGGATTAAAAAATAACATTTATATACGACAAAAGACTTTGACACGACTCATTTCACGCCTGAGTTTCAAATGAATGAACAATTTTTTTTTTTAATCGCTTTGTTCCCGTCATAAATCTATAAGACATATTCCAGACTATAAATAATAGATCATGTTCCTATTAATGTGTGATTATGGAATAAACGTATGAATTGTGGTGGTCAAAACATCTTTGTTGAATATTATATTAATGGTACGCCGATAAGTCAAAAACCGTAGATTTTTTCGGAATTGACATTTTTCATATATGAACATAAATTTTACAAATATAAAAAAACAATAAGAAATTTTCAAAAATTATCTTAGTAATTCTGATACAGACTCTGCTACTAAAATTTAACAAATATATTCTGAGACGAAAGTCCTATTTTCTATTCCTTTTTGCACATTTTAAATTCTCGTAAAAAACTTAAATACATAGTGTTTTAAGTAATCATTCCGATGCCTATTTCTCTTGAAAATATTTCATAATATAGCCATATCTGGCAAGAATTAATTCCACTATGCCCGTCGGAATGTGGTTTGCCACCCAGTTGTGTGGTCACGGCTCGAATTCTCTATGTAAAGCCTCACAGCTCTGCAGCGCCATCTACTAGATTATACACTGCATGATAAGCATATAGGTTCTCATTTTCTACTCTCGTTACCATGGCAACGCTTTAATTTCATCCGACTAATTTAGTCTTTTGCGAACAAGCAAAAGTATATCGTTACAAGATTTTTGTAACGCTGATTTAGTTAATAAAGAAAAGGGGGATATGGGGGATAATTAATATTAATTTAAAATTAGAGACTATGGAATTTCTAGTATAAGCTTTTATGAATATAGAATTTACTACGCGCTGCTACGCACGCTTCTATGAAGTATTCTTAGCTCTGTGTTTGAAGTGTTCGTAAATCTTAAATTACTGGGAACACCTGTAAATCAATTGTTTAAATATATTTGTATTAATTCATTATTTTGAATTGTTCAAAGGCGTTCGCTGAATAGGTAAACAGCTTTGATAGAAATTTAATTGTAATGTTGTTTGTCGAGACTTTCTTTCGGCTTCCCTTCTACATTATTCATGACCATTTTTTCCTTGACGATGAAAAATATTCAATATACAGAGTGTTCTTAGAATTACATTGCATAAAAATCAAGTCAGGAAATATAATTTAGAACGGTTTGGGGGGGGGGGGGGGGGGGGGGGGGGGGGGGGGGGGGGGGGGGGGGGGGGGGGGGGGGGGGGGGGGGGGGGGGGGGGGGGGGGGGGGGGGGGGGGGGGGGGGGGGGGGGGGGGGGGGGGGGGGGGGGGGGGGGGGGGGGGGGGGGGGGGGGGGGGGGGGGGGGGGGGGGGGGGGGGGGGGGGGGGGGGGGGGGGGGGGGGGGGGGGGGGGGGGGGGGGGGGGGGGGGGGGGGGGGGGGGGGGGGGGGGGGGGGGGGGGGGGGGGGGGGGGGGGGGGGGGGGGAGGGGGGGGGGGGGGGGGGGGGGGGGGGGGGGAGGGAGAAAAGGAGAGGGAGAAGAGACGGGGGGGGGGGGGGGGGGGGGGGGGGGGGGGGGCGGGGCCGGGGGGGGGGGGGGGGGGGGGGGGGGGGGGGGGGGGGGGGGGGGGGGGGGGGGGGGGGGGGGGGGGGGGGGGGGGGGGGGGGGGGGGGGGGGGGGGGGGGGGGGGGGGGGGGGGGGGGGGGGGGGGGGGGGGGGGGGGGGGGGGGGGGGGGGGGGGGGGGGGGGGGGGGGGGGGGGGGGGGGGGGGGGGGGGGGGGGGGGGGGGGGGGGGGGGGGGGGGGGGGGGGGGGGGGGGGGGGGGGGGGGGGGGGGGGGGGGGGGGGGGGGGGGGGGGGGGGGGGGGGGGGGGGGGGGGGGGGGGGGGGGGGGGGGGGGGGGGGGGGGGGGGGGGGGGGGGGGGGGGGGGGGGGGGGGGGGGGGGGGGGGGGGGGGGGGGGGGGGGGGGGGGGGGGGGGGGGGGGGGGGGGGGGGGGGGGGGGGGGGGGGGGGGGGGGGGGGGGGGGGGGGGGGGGGGGGGGGGGGGGGGGGGGGGGGGGGGGGGGGGGGGGGGGGGGGGGGGGGGGGGGGGGGGGGGGGGGGGGGGGGGGGGGGGGGGGGGGGGGGGGGGGGGGGGGGGGGGGGGGGGGGGGGGGGGGGGGGGGGGGGGGGGGGGGGGGGGGGGGGGGGGGGGGGGGGGGGGGGGGGGGGGGGGGGGGGGGGGGGGGGGGGGGGGGGGGGGGGGGGGGGGGGGGGGGGGGGGGGGGGGGGGGGGGGGGGGGGGGGGGGGGGGGGGGGGGGGGGGGGGGGGGGGGGGGGGGGGGGGGGGGGGGGGGGGGGGGGGGGGGGGGGGGGGGGGGGGGGGGGGGGGGGGGGGGGGGGGGGGGGGGGGGGGGGGGGGGGGGGGGGGGGGGGGGGGGGGGGGGGGGGGGGGGGGGGGGGGGGGGGGGGGGGGGGGGGGGGGGGGGGGGGGGGGGGGGGGGGGGGGGGGGGGGGGGGGGGGGGGGGGGGGGGGGGGGGGGGGGGGGGGGGGGGGGGGGGGGGGGGGGGGGGGGGGGGGGGGGGGGGGGGGGGGGGGGGGGGGGGGGGGGGGGGGGGGGGGGGGGGGGGGGGGGGGG